ACTATTCTCCCTCCCCCCCCCCCCCCTCCCCCTCTCTCTCTCTCTCTCTACTTCCCGATGTCTTCTCCTCCGCCAGATAAAGGCTGAAGATGAACTCCACTATTTCGCCCAACTCCATCCAACAACTCAACTGCTTTTATGCGTTTCTTGATTTCACGTCAACCATGGCCGAATCCTATCTGAACGGAGCATATTACGGCCCATCAATTCCCCCGACGTCCAAAACCTACCACCGCCCAAGCCACGACGCCGGGTGCTGCTGCAACCCATTCAGCTGCTGCTGCGGCTGTCTCTTCAATTGCATCTGCACTTGTATCTTCCAGATACTCTGCACTCTTTTGGTCATCGTTGGTATCGTAGCCTTTGTCCTCTAGTTTATCCTCAGGCCCAACAAAGTCAATTTTCTGTTAATATATTTTAATGTATCTCGATGTATTTCATTGTATCCATTGTCTTTTTTTTTATTAAATTTCAATTTATCTCACTGTATTCTATGTATTTCGTTGTATTCATTGTCTTTTTTTTTCATTGTATTTCAATGTATTCTATGTATTTCATTGTATTCACTGTCTCGCTATATTCCATGAATGTATTCATATTTTTTTTTTAATTAAGATAATTTATGTATTCAGATGTATTATATAATTTCTCTGAAAATTGCTATGTTTTTGGGGTGTTTTTCGGTTGAGAATCTTTTATATAACTGGAAATACAAAATTTGTGTGTTATAATTGAGTTTGTTGAGTTATATTAGGAGTCTATTATGTTAATTGATTCACTTTCTGTTTAAAAATAGTGTAATTCCCTATTTCACGCCGTGAATACAGTGGAATACAATAATCTGTCCAGCTGTAATCCCATGTTTTACGCCATGAATACATCGAATACACCCGAATACAAAAATCTGTCTAGCTATAATCCCCTGTTTCACGCCTAGAAATGCTACTGTATTCATGAATATAGTAGCTTAAATACATCGAATACACTCTAAAAAAATCTGAAAACATAGCTATAGGAAGTAATATAGTAAATGGTAGCTACAACTAGCTAATAACCACTAAAACATAGTGGTTTCTGAAAGTTTCTCTAAAAAATTTAGGGGATCTTTTGCAAATATCCACCCACCACAAACTATTTAGGAAATTTTACCTTTTATAGCAAAGCTTTACACCTTATTTATTATAGATAAATATCATTTTAAAATATTATTTTCTATATCTACCTTTTAGGTTTTATTGCAAAATATGTATTTATGTCACTTCCTACCGTTTAGCCATTAAATACGTTGGGTAATATTTTTCTCTCTCCTACTTTCTGTTCTTTCTCTCACAAGACCACCGTATAGTATACAACTTCAGAAACCACGATCTCTCTCCATCATCATCTCTCTCTCTCTCTCTCTCTCTCTCTCTCAACGCCAGTCTCTTCTCCATGAATACAATCACGATTCTCCGCTGATTCATCTCCATTGTCTCGCGAAATTTTCAAAATTTTTTGCTCCAAAAAATTGTGGTAAGTGTTAAAGTTGTTAGATTTTCGTTTGAAGTTGTTAGATTTTCGCTGGTACGTTGCTTCTTCTGTTTCTCTTTACTAACTTTTTAGAAATAATCACCATTGTTATGCTTTCACCATAAAACTTAAAATTTCATCTCCAATGGCTGATTCAACAACTCACAAGAGGGTTACCCAACATCGAAACTGGCCCAGTTTGAGAAATCTTCGAAAGAATCAACACTTCCTGATGCGGAAAAGAGAAGAAAACTTATGGATGATGATTCAGGGGTAAAGGAAAAAGATACTTTATTTTTACTATACTCAATGTATCTTGTTGTATTCCTTGTATTTCATTGTATTCACCGTCTTTAGTTTTTTTACTTTTTCAATATATTCATTGTATTTAACTGTATTCAATGTAATTATATAATTTCAAAGCTTCACTTTATTTCACTGTTTTGCCCAGCAGTATATATTCCGTAGTATGTATTCAATGTATTGTAGAATGTATTCAATATATTTTTTTAATTAATATAATTTATGTATTCAAACGTATCTGCAGTATGTATTCATATTTTTTGCACGAAAGATGACCTGCTATACTTCATGTATTCTTTTTATTGTATGTATTTAACTCTATTCAATGTAATTATATAATTTCAATACATAAATCTATTTGTAAAGATACCACTAAAAAATATTTTAGTAAAGATACCACTAAAAAAAGAAAAGATGGATCGAATCTCTGAAGATTGCTCTGTTTTTGGGGTGTTTTTCGGCTGAGAATCTTTTCTATAACTGGAAATACAAATTGTGTATGTTATAGTTGAGTTATATTAGGAGTCTATTGAGTTAATTGATTCACTTACCGTTTTTAAACAGCTGAAAACCATTTTTTTCCGCAGATTTCCGTTACTGTATTCACGAATACAGCTCGCGAATACATATGAATACAGTTTATATTTAGCTGGACTTCCTTGTTTTACGCCGAGTTTTGCTACTGTATTCATGAATACACTAGCTTGAATACATCGAATACACTCTATAATAAGTGAAAGAATAGCTATAGGAAGTAATTAAGTAAATGGTAGTTATAGCAAGTTAATAGCCACTAAACAATAGTCATTTCTGAAAATTCCTCAACTACTTACCCACCCCTACCTATAAAGTTTTTTCCCTACCCATTTTTTTTAGTCAAGCCAAGCTAATCCAAACCGAACCAAGCCAAGCCGAGCCAAGTCAAGTCAAGTCGAACCAAGCCAAATCAAGCTAAGCTAGTTAGGTAATTAGTTTTAAATTAATAAGTATATATTTTAAATAGTCTTCAAATAGGTAGAGAAGGGTAATTATTTTAAGCTCAATGGGTAATTTGCATAAATTGCTCAAAATTTTACTGGGACAACCTATTTGGCTACTTTCATTTAATCTATGCCCACTTTTGCTAAAAATTTTAACTTGTGTTTTCTAAAAGAACTTCAGAATTTCAAAAAACCTTTGCCTCTACAAAGGCATATCGATTGCAGCATTCTCTCTCTTTATTCTTTTGCCCAAGCCTCATCAAGCGTCATTTTTTTCCTTTCTTCTTTCGCGCTTCGATTGAGCCAAATCTTGAGGAAACATCATGGTTTCGTCAAATTAAGAATCATCTTAAGCAAATCTCATCAGTTCTCAAAATAGAGATTTGTTCAAGTTTCTGAAAGGCGGAATGACCTCTTGGCCACTTAAACTTCTATCAGTTTGCAGACCCAATATATGAACTTTTGAATTTTCCATTTGAACACCTCTACTTGAGAAAATAGCTACTAATAAACACCATTGACCTTTGACTATGCTTATGTGGCTATATTATAGCTGATGTGGTCAATTGCATGTTAATCACGAGTATAAAGCGCGTGAATATAATAAAAAGATAATTAATAATAAAAAGAAAAACACATTTTCCTCACTCATGTTCGCCCCCTCCCCCTCCTTAATGGTCGGCCCCTTATGTCCCCCCTCCCCCAACCCTCATCCCCCTCCATTTCTCTTCGTCTTCCTTTCCCGTCTCTTGCCTTTTATTCCAAATTAAGTCCATAATCAAATTTTGATAAATTACACTCCAAAGCTCCATATTCAATTATCATATCTGACTATTCTTCAATTTTAAACTATCAATCACACTTCAAAGCCCATATTAGAGAAAAGTCCATATCCATTATCATAAAAACAAACCCATCGGATAAAGAAAGATGAAAGAAACGGGGTCTGATTTTTGTAGTATGAATGGGTAAAAAAATTGAAAAGCAAACATTGTTCGCTGCTTTTTGATTTGTTGAAATTATTTGCTGATTTGTTGGAAAGAATCGGTTCTGATTTTGATCATGATAAATGTTATTCGCTGCTTCCTGATTTTTCTCTCTAATTTCTGGACGTGGTGATTCTTGTCTCCAAGTTTTGGCGATTTTTTTCTCTAGGATTTTTAGTGATAAAAGTCGAATCTGAAGGTTTTGCAGATGGATCTTGTTTTGGTAGGTGAGATGATAAAATAATGGAAGTGAAAGGTATT